AATGCTTGAGTGTTAGGAAGATTTGGGTCGCCAGCGATTGCCCAATAAGATGAATCAGTATCACCTTCAATGAAATGAAAACGATTAACATCCATGCATTTATACATAAAATCATAAATGAAAACCAAATACCAGTATTTTGCATTATCTAAAGTGAAGAATGCCTCTTGTAAACATGTTTCACATCTATAAAATCTATCTTTAAGCATCAGTTGATACGTATCCTCACCTATTTCTCTTATGTTTTTAAACTTATTTGCCATACATGCAACGCGTGCCTTCGGTGCATTCATTATTTTAGTCTTTGCGTAATTTTGTGTATTCATTGCATCGTAACCATATGATCCATTAAGCGAAATCTTGCAAAATAAACTTTTTCCTTTATTTCCTTCTAATTCAGCCTTTTGTCTTTCGTTCATAAATTTGTTCGCAAATTCATTAAAACAAGTGTTTTTAGTAAATGTTAAAATTGATTGAATATCATCAATGATAAAATGAAATCTGTCTATTAGATACCATAGATAATAAGAAGAAAATGGTTGATATTGGTTGTGTGTTGATGCTAACTGAGTTAATTTTCTCTGTTTCTGGTCAACGGTAGATTGTTTGATTTCATGTAATTATACATAAAACCAATTGTTTTTTCATCTGTGATAATATCTAAGTTTCTTATTATCGGTAAAAAGTTTATGTAATCATTAATGTATTTTTCATCAATGTGACCCTTTACTTCAGCCACGAATAAAGTATTTTTCTTCTAATAATTCCCAGTGCTTTTGCTTTCTTTGTTGCTGTATCACAAATGATAACACCATTCAATCTTCCCGGCATATACATTTTATGGTCAGTATATTGAATGAAATCATGAGGATTGATGAAAATGATGAAGGATATAATGAATTGAAATCAACACCAACGAAATGAGTCATGATGTTGGGTGTCCTCATTTGATACTGTTTTAGTTTCTGGATTATATGAAAGTTTATTAATGTGCGTGATTCCTTTAAGATTTACTCTATGTTGAACATTTGATAAACCACCAGTAATTCCATTACGGAGGATGTGATACGCTTCCACTGAATCTAAAGTCATTGGTAAATTATTTTTTAATGCATAATTTCTTAAATTAATTCTTAAACGTTGAACTTCTTCATCTTTATTTGATTTCACGACATTGCAATAACAACACATTAACTGACAATTTTCTTTAGTATGTGGTTTTTCATTATCAATTCTATCCAATGTTGGTTTATTTGCATATGTAAACGCTTTACCACACATTTTACATTTAGATGAAAGGATTAAATCGTGAAAATATTGATAGTCATCCATTGAAACATTATTTTTGGTATCTCTTTTCACCTTTTCATCTTGTTTCTTATATGATTCAATTTTATATTTCCAATACTTTTTCGTTAATTCAAAACTTGATTCCACATTTTCTTCTTCTGGATATGTTTCGTTAGGATTGAAGTTCTTATATGCTAACGCGTAACGAATCATTGATGCATTAGATGATAATGAAAGATTATGGAGCATGTCAATTTTATAAACAAATGTTTCTTCAATAATTTTATCAATTGGGTCAATCATAATTTCAACGTCTTTATTGCAATAATGAATAAAATATTCTAATCTATTCTCAAAATTTTTAGCATCATTGAGATATATTTGATAATCACTATCTGATATAGTTTCTTGTGTTAATGCTGAATAAAATGAATCTTGAGTGAATGGTTCCTTTTTATATAATTCTTCTTCGTAATTTTCCCACGTGATGAATTGATAAGGGAAAAAGGATTTAACACGTGTTTTATTGTTTCCGAAATCTTGAGTGAATTGGTCTAATGTCCCACCCGCTATATAATTTCTGATGTCAATAAATCTCAATTCATATGGAACGTTTGTTTTCTTTACAATGATTTGCTTAAATTGTGAAGAAGAACCCAGCATTGATTTTATCTTCCATTTTGCAGTATTTAAATCACGAAGAATTAAATTTAAATCAAACTTTCCCGAATTAAAACCTATGATATTCACTTTATTGAATTCCTCATCTAGAAGTTCTTTAAATGCTTCCTTCTGTTTCTCATTTAATGTATTCATTAATTCTTCATATTGTTCAATATTTGATTTAGCAACTAATGAACAGGTTGAAAATAAAAATTCAATCCAATCAGAGATGAACGAATCACTTGATGTTAAGCAAAAATTCCTTGTATATGTTTTATCGTTTAATTTAACCGTTGATGATACCATGAATGGTTTTAAGTAAGCGTTCAAAGTTGCACATTCAGAAAGTAGAAGTTCTTCTTTAGTCTCTAATGTTTCGAAGTCAAAAGTAATATAATATCTTGTTGGTTTATAATATTCCTGCAAATTATGTGCTAATAGCCACTGATATATCTTCTGTTTCGTGATATGTGGTGCATATGGTTGTTGTGTGTTTTGCAATTGAACGTCTTGAATTAATCTTCCATTATTTTCTTTACATTTCTCACAATGTTTTAAAAATCTTCTTTGGTTTTTCCTTTCTGGATCATCACGGATAGAATATACTTCTTCTTTGCAAAAGGAGCAAACTTTATATCCTGTGAGTGCTTCAACGTCTGTTATTCTGTCAGCGTGAAGTTTTCCACATGGACTCTGTGTTAATAAAATATTTACTGTTTCAAATTCTGGATCTATCATTATTGATTCCACTAATGGAAAGTCTACCTTGTTAATGTCTACGTCTTCTGGTTGAGGTCACAATAATAGAAATCAATATTAACGTTTAACATTCTTGCTAACCTCTCACTTTCTGATGAAATGTCAAATCCTTCATATGCATCTATGGCTTCATTTAAATAACTTCTACGAGTTTTAGGATTAACACCATCAGGAATGTTATAGAAGCGTTTAAATAACCTTCTACCTTCTGCTCTAATTTGATTATCATTCATTTTAGCGTTCCGTTTTTGTTCATTTATGTAAGAATAAAAATTAAAAAAATAAAAATAAAGTTTATTTTTTTAAAGTCTGAGACTCAGAGAGTCCAGGGCTAAAGTCCATAAAATGAATTAAGAACACATAAATTTTTATCATCTGCGACGTGACGAATACATTTTAATTTACTCAAGAATGTGTACCCTGATACATTAAATCTAATTCCTGTCTTATTTAATTTCACAACTTTGAAAAGGAATGTGAATAGCTATGAAATGATGACGAGATGATTTATGTGTTGCTTCCATTTTTTCTGAAATAAATGAATAAATATAATGTTTATAAGTTTTCATATCTTTTATGTTCTTAATAACGAATGGAATAGATCTTTCCACTTCGTCCTCCTTCGGAGCTGTTCTTTCATATGAAACATCAACGGTATCTTCAACAATGAAACCACAATCGCATAAAATTTTATATGTACCAATTGTTTCTTTTGATATTTTATCTAACAAATCAAAAACTTTATCAACACCTGTACATTTATTTAAATAATAATTTGTGTAAATATCATGGTCTTCTTTCTTAATCGTATTTGTTGCATATGTTACATTTTTCAGTGCTTTTTTGAATTTTTCAGAATCAAGAGGAGGTGAAAGTAATATACATGGATAATCTCCATCGTCAATAAATTGTAACTTATGTTTATGAATAAATTTTGTGCCTTCTTCTGAAAGTGTTTCGTCAATATCACCATCTAATAAATTTTTAGTAGATTCCAAAAAGTAATTTTTATATCTTTCCTCATGTGATTTTTGAACTTCTGATTCTGAAGCTGGGATATTCATTAAACCCTCTACTTCATTCTCAGCATTTCTTAATTCCTTAATTCTTTCATCTATTTCATTTCTTAATTGTTCCAATTTCTCAATCTCATCGTTATAATATTCATCTTGTTTAATTTTTTCTTCAAAATATTCAGGAGGTGTTTCAAGGCTCTCTGAGCCCAGGTCCTCTGGACCATAAAGAGGAATATTCTCATGTTTTTCAACTTTTTTGGGATATAAATATCTCATTATAGCCTTTTTAGTAATTGGTCCGTTATATTTAAATTCATTCAACAATCTGGAAAACTCTTTCACATTCTGCATATATGTTGGATAAGAACCGTCTCCAAAATTTTCTAAAATATTTTCTAATTCTGAATTAGTGAACTTTAAAGATTTCAATGAATTAGTTGTTATACTCATTTATTATAAAATAAAAGATAAAAAATATTTTTGATTAATAAGGAATTAATTTCATTTTATGTCTTATAATGTGCGCATATGTATTTAAAAGGCATTCATTGAATTGCTTTTCAATCTCTTTCTTTTTTTTCATCTTCAAATATTATATTAGTTTCATATATCAAATTATGATATCGGTCATATTCTTTTAAGTGATAAATAAATACAAAATTTACGGTTCCTTTAATTTTAAATTCAAAATTAATTTTACAACAGCTTTGTGGATCAATTAGTAAATCAATCAAATAATGTTCAAAATCAGATATTATTCTTTTTCCATACATTTTATCATTTAATAAAAAATTGACACCATATTTGGAATCTATGCAAAATATATTCTTTTTATTAATGGTAATATAGGAATTGTAGGAATAAAAACTTTTTATAAATTATTCATAAATTTTTAAAATCTGCTATTCAGAAGTATGTTCAAAAATCATTCAATTATGTGAGAATTCTTACGATTACATAAAAGGTCACACAACCCGCACTCATCTACTACTTTTAAATTTAACATTTGTTCCATCACAGTATTTGAAATCGGATTTTAATGAGCTTGTTGATTAATTTTATTAGTTTTGTTTAGTGAGAAAAGAAAATTCAATTGAAATTATTTTTGAATAAAGCAAAGATAATTATCCGTTTATAAAAAGAAGTCATAATTCAAAAGAAAATACCGAACAAAAGCTATAAAAAAGATTTTGAAACATTGGTATTTAATAAAATCCTTACAACTAAAAATAAACTTAATATTTATCATCTTATCAAATAAAAAACATGAAATTAACACATCTTTTCTGCCGGAGCTCCGACAGCCTTCAATAATTTCTGATACTGACCTTTTCTTATCCAAAGCTTATTCCATTTCTTGAGAGCGTATCTCCAGTCTCTCATCTGCTCGCTCGTGTCTGGGTGTTGTAAAACTAATAACATTTCTTCGAAATTTTTGGCTTCATGGAACATCTTTTTATGTCTTGAGAAGATCACGAGTGCAAATCCAAGTAAGCCACGTGTTCCGTAGAAAATGAAACGTTCGAATATTCTCATCTGAAATTCTGGATCCCAATTGAAAGCCATGAATGCGGTCATAAACCACTGTGTTGCAAACATGGAAATTGGCATATTTTCATTGTCTATTTTCTTCAAAATTTTTGGATATTTTTTCTGTAAGAGAATTCTCAAGATATTAATTGCGATATCTAAGCGTGGAAATCCCTCTGTAAAGTAGAATCTGTGTAAACAACGAGGATGGTTCATTATTTGAATAAAACTCTTAAATGCGATTTCTTCTTCCTGGTAGTGAATTAATAAGCCAGCGATGAAATTCTCACCCTGTGTATATCCTAATTCATGGTCATATTGACCGTATGCATAAAGAATGTGTTTTAATCTTTCTAATGTTTCTTTCTGGCTGAAACTCTTGATTTGCGGTAAACTACGCGTTAAATCTTTATCTATAGTAATAGTGAACTCTTGTCCTTCAGCTTTTTGGTATAAATCTTTGTAATTTATATCTGCAGGCAAAGATTCGATATCTAAAATTTTTGACCAGACAGTTCCGCGCATTGTTTCAGGTATTCCGCGCTTAATAAGCTCGGCAATATCATCGCGAGACTTTTTCATTTCACGTTTCCAATTTTTTAAATAATTTGACCACAGGATTTCCTTTTCAGGTTCTTCAGCGCTTTCTCTCTTTTCTTCTTCGATCTCTTTTTCTGATTTCTCCCTCTGAGTTTTAATAAAACCATATCGATCTACCTTTCCTTCAGACATTCCTTGATTAAAAATTTTTTTTGTAACAAAAAGTATGTAAAAATGATACTGAATTACGTTATTCAATAGGAATCCTTCGTTTTCTGAATTGTTGTTTTGTAATTAGTTTTCAACCTGATGTTAACGTTTTTTTCACTTTGCATTGTCATGACGATTGAGATTATCCATCTCTGAAAAAGTCATTGGCACTTTTTTATTATTTACTTATCGTATTTCTAAAATAAATAAGAGTCTTTAATTACATTTTGAATAATATTTTAATTCAATTCCTAATTTTTTCAAAAAGTAATTCTTATTTTCTGCAGTGGTTATATGCAATTAGAGTGTAATCTGCCTATCAACAATATTACCTTAGTCTATCTAAGTTGACATCTGAAATCATAATGACCTAAGTTCTTTTTCATTAATATGCCATTTTAATTGATAAGAACAAACATATGTGAATACGATTGCGATTGCTTAGAGCCGTGATTCTAAAAGAGAACTGATGTTTAGATAGCCATAATTCTTCAACAAAATTCAAACCATCATAAAAAACATGTCTTCTCTTCCTCTATCACAATGGCCGATATTTGGAGCTACATGCTTAAATATCATAAGGAAACATTATTCAATATTTCAGATATATCTTATCAATATTTAGTTAATTTCTATTGCTATATTAATAACATTAGGAATAATTTAGATATTAGTCTTGTTTGTCGCAAATGTCATACATCTACCTCAAATAAAATGCTTTTACAAAAAAATACAAAAAATTTCGATGGTCTTAACCATCAAGTCTGTTGCTATATATTTATTCCGAATATTCTAACTTAATATATTACATATTTCGCTTTGATTTGCCAATTTTTATTTAATGAAAATGCGTTTGAGAACTTGGGCGCTTCTTATTAAGCTGTTTCCAATTTACCATGTAATGTGAATGTTGGAACGTTCACTTGTGCAATCTAAATGAAACCGTATAGTTACATTTAGTTGGTAAATTTAAAAGCACGCTTTCAATCACATTGGTTTATCACTTAATGCTAAAACAAATTGTTTTAAGCCTGCTTACATGTTTTCCATTTAGCGAGTACTGTTTCGTCCGCTTTGTAAAACCCAAAAAAATGCAAGGAAAAGCCTTTCCAGACTTAAATTTCATCTGATGTATGGGAGCAATTTTATGAATCAGCACTCGCTTCACCTCCTATCACTGGAAAGAATGTACACGTTGAACCAACAGATGATGGGTGTTTCATATATAATAGTAAATTCATATGTATTTCTAACAATAGTGCTGTTTATTTCGAGAAAGATGATATTAAATTTCTTAACTCTGATTGTTCGTTCACTGACTGCAGCAGTAATTCTGATGGTGGAGCCCTTCACTTTAAATGTGATAGCTCTATTGTCCAATATAGATCATGTGGATACAAATCAAAAACAGCATCTGAACAAGGACATCATTCATATATTCAACTTAAGGATAAATCGATTAAAATAAATTATCTTTTTGAAAGTTCTTTTTATGATTGCGGAAATTTTGAAGTGCGTCGAACGAATCGTCTTTATTCAGGTATGATTGATGTTAAATCAATAAATACAAGTTTCTGTAAATCATATTCTGATTCAGGAATTCAATTATTTTTGCCAACAAATATTAGTAATATAACATATTCATCATTTTGTAATACATCATCACAATATTCCGCAATTGGATTAAATAATGGGGATTTTAAATTTAAATTTTGCAATGTATTAGACAATAAAATCGCAAAATCTCAATATGGAACATTTTGGGCAGGTTCATCCACTGTTCAGATTGAAAACAGCTCATTTCTTGGGAACATAGGACTCGGAGTAGACTTTTATCAAGAATCTTATGGTTCAATAACAATTCAAGATTCTTTCTGTGATAGATTGAATAAGACAGCTGGATTGGTTATAACAAATAATGTCCAAAATACATATTCTTTTTCTAAGCTATCTATCTTTTCAATTGACGCTTGTATATTTGATATTAATATTATGACGTATGATGAAGATATTTATAAAGCATTCTTCTTTGTAATGATACCAGTTCTTTCGTAAACTAATAATTTCTTATCAAATTACAATGATTTTTATTTAAAATTATGAAGATTGCAACGCAAAGAATATAAAATATATAGTTATGCACATCAATGAAAGTGTAATGAATGAGGGAAAAATTGCTTTATTCTACCTTAGCTTAGCTTATAACACACTAAGATTTGGCGATCAACTTTACCTCAAGACGTCACGAGACAAACATTAAATTTGTGTACTTGAGATCTTAGGATTATTCTAGAAATAGAAACCGAATAAAATTCGGTAAAACATTTTAACATTCAAATCGAATTGAAAATCAAGCCTGATAAAATTTTGATGAAGGAAGTAGCCTTCTTAAGTTCATATTCTTCTTAGGAAGTGAAAGTTTTTCATCTTTTTCCACCTGCTGGTGATGTTTCAAGACTTAGTACTGCAACTAATGTTAACATTAAACGGATATTTCATTTTTATAGTATTTTCAATAATGACACAGGTTACGGTGTTGCATAATTTATAAATCTAATCTAACTAATTTGCTCATTAAATCATATGGCTCATGTAAAGATTGATCTAGGAATATAAATGGTGAATATATCTATTTTGTTTATGGTAGTTCCATTGATCAATATTGTTCTTGTCAATAAATTATATGAGTGAAATTTAGGATATGATTCAAAATAATTTTCCCCATTAGAAAAGCAAAAAGAGATAGGGGGCGAGCATCATAAGAAAAATTTTTCGAAAAATAGGGGGTGTTAGTATACTCAACCCCCTCATTAATTATCGTTTCTAGAGGAATAGGAACAGAGGCCTTTTTTCAGGTAACCTTTAAGAAGTTTCCGAAAGAGTTTATGCTCATATAACCTCATTTCCAGGTAAATAGGGGGTATTGTTCTACTAAAAGTTTAGTTGCATACTGGCCTCGTTTCCTAAGAAACTTAATCAAGAGGCTATCTCAATAAGCCTTGACCAACAGGAATAGGATAAAGGAATATGCAATACTGAACTACCGTAATCTTAAAGCAATAACCGATAGACGCAAGCTCATCACTACTTATTTGGTTGTTCAACGAATCTTTTTATATCACAGTACACTACGCGTATCTCATACCTCCATCCAATAGATGATTTACTCATGATTACATTTAAAACCCAAAAGTAGACATTCTTTTGAAAATATTATTCAGATTCAACGAAAACTTTCATTTATGATACATGCATATAAAATCTTCCAAGATATAATTACTTATCTTAACAAAAAATATCATTCTTTTTCTATATTTTGAACAAATTTATGCAACCATCATGATTTTCGTCTAGTAATCAAGTCTCATACCTCTATGTATATATGAAATCATATTTTCTCCGTAGAATACTATATTTTTTATATTTTTACTAAATTTTAAATTTTTCACTTCTTTTTAATTTCCTTTTATTAATAGCACACTATCCTCCAAGATAGATTTTCATTTTTTTTGCATAACAACTACATTGCTACATATTTTTTTACATAACAATTCTTATCTATTGTTAAAATTCACTAGATTCGTGTTCACATTAGTTTCACATATTTGGGGAATACTTATAGCTTCTTAAATTTCAAATTGAATCTTTTCTTTTGTTTGATTATTCTCCTAATACAATTCAAAATGATTCTTTGAATATTCTGATAAAATATTATCAGCTTATGCATAGAAAATTAAATTTGATTACAATCATCTTTTAACATGTAATGTTTATGATAATACTTAAATTTTTATCTAATGAAACATACTTTATTATGTAAGGTATATTACAGACTTAAATTCACATCAAAATAATGCAAAATGAATCTAGTTGTCAATCCAGATTTCAAAATATTTCATGAAATTTGATTCCCTTCATAATTTGAATAATTATTTCAAATCAAACAAGAAAAATCATAAAGTAATAATATCGGTTTATTTGGCTCTGAAAATAATTGCAAATATTGATTTAATAAACAATTTAATATATTATTTTTCGAACAAAGAGAATACTATTCAAGAAAATTAAAAAGTTCGACATCTTCTATTAACTTTAACATATTTTTGAATGTATGATCTCAACGCAACAATACTATTGGATAAAAAAATTCGGTGTGTAATGGATTTACTTGAAAAGCGTATGGGTATTGTTTAAGATAATGTATATAATACAAACGAGGATACTTATAATGATGCTTGAACAAAAGAATAATGCTGTATTAAAGCAGGGAGGTCAAAGAACCTAAATGCATGTTTCGGTAATATTGATTACTTATTCCACAAGAGTGATGGTAAATCCTATTCCTGTTGGTCAAGGCTTATTGAGATAGCCTCTTGATTAAGTTTCTTAGGAAACGAGGCCAGTATGCAACTAAACTTTTAGTAGAACAATACCCCCTATTTACCTGGAAATGAGGTTATATGAGCATAAACTCTTTCGGAAACTTCTTAAAGGTTACCTGAAAAAAGGCCTCTGTTCCTATTCCTCTAGAAACGATAATTAATGAGGGGGTTGAGTATACTAACACCCCCTATTTTTCGAAAAATTTTTCTTATGATGCTCGCCCCCATACAATCATTATTCATATCATTTCATTACTTCTTTTTGTATTGTTTTAGTAAACTCATAAGCCTTTATGATAAAGTTTATTGTACAATTGTATCAATCAAAATTCAATATTTAGTTGTGGATTATTTGGTACATTCAAAACTTATAATTTGATACAAAATTGGACGTTAAAAAAAAAACAAATAATCAAAAAAAAATTGATATTCTCACTTATTCTGTTCGGTGATACCATGAAGTTTGTGATTACAACGATTTAACCCGTAAGTATTAGTTGCATTGCGATTCTTCTTCAGAGTTGATGCATTTTTCTTTCGAAATTGTGTAGAATACAAATTTTTATCCGAAACAGATAGCTTGCATTTAAGTTAATGCAACTATTATGAAAATAGTTCGAAATTTTGTGTCACGCAAATAAAATTATTTCTCAAACTCAAAATTTTAGACTCATTCAAAAAATTGTGTCTTAAAAAAGTGACCTCTTTTAGTGCCATTTTCTCCTATGTCCAACAACTGGAACAATTCCGGAGAGTATAAGAATCGTTTCGATAGCGGAGGTGAAGACAATGACGATGGTCGTCGTTATGGCAGTGGTGGTGGCCGCGGCATGTCTCATTCACGCTCATTTGCTTATGAACGCCGTGGCGGACGCGATGAAGGCCGCTTTGGCTATCGTGATGGACCTAGATTTGGTCGTGGGCGTGGCGGACGTGGTCGTCACGATCGTTCTCCTTCTCCACCAACAAGAACTGCTGAATGCGTCCCAGTTAAACTCAACCAAGACTTTACTCCATCATCAACAAAGGACGAACAAGTTCAATTTCTCAAATCTAACGCAATTAAGTTACTCGCTTCTGATGTTCCTTCTCCAGCTTTAACTTTCGAAGAACTTAATCTTCCAGACACAATTACAAAGACAATTACAGACAACAAGTGGGAAAAGCCAACCCCAATTCAATCTGTCTCAATTCCTGTCGCATTAAAAGGACATGATCTTATTGGTATTGCTAAGACAGGTTCCGGCAAGACAGCAGCTTTCCTCATCCCTGCCATGGTCCACATTGGTCTCCAGGAGCCAATGTACCGTGGAGATGGTCCAATTGTTCTTGTTCTCTCTCCAACAAGAGAACTTGCTCAACAGATTGCAGAAGTTGCCAAGGGATTCTGCGACAACCTCATGATCAGACAGACATGTCTTTTCGGAGGTGCTGGACGTGGTCCACAGGCAAATGACCTTCGTCACCTTCCTTCTCTCGTTGTTGCTACGCCAGGTCGTTTAATCGACTTCATTGAAGGTGGCCAGTGCCCGATGAACCGTGTAAACTTCCTTGTCCTCGATGAAGCTGATCAAATGCTTGATATGGGCTTTGAGCCACAGATCAGGAAGATTATTGGTCATATCAGCAAGGACCGTCAGACAATGATGTTCTCTGCCACATGGCCAAAGGAAATTCAGCAACTCGCCGCTGATTTCCTTGTAGATCCAGTTCACATGATCATTGGCAACAAAGATCTCACGACAAACAGCAACATCAAGCAGGTCATTACCAAATGCGAGGAGTTCGAGAAGCTCTCCAAATGCTTAGAAGTACTTAATGAACACAAAGACGACAAAATCATCATTTTCACAAAGACAAAGCGTACTACAGACGATTTACAAGAGAACCTCAACATGAAGGGATTCCAAGCTTACTCCCTTCATGGCGACAAAGCGCAGAACCAGAGAGATTTCGTTCTTGGCAAATTCAGATCATGCAAGAAAGGAATCCTCGTGGCTACAGATGTCGCTGCAAGAGGTCTCGATGTTAACGATATCGATATTGTTATTAACTACGATTTCCCAGGTGATATCGAAACATACGTTCACAGAATTGGCCGTACAGCAAGAGGTAACAAGGAAGGCCTCGCAGTTACTTTCTTTACAGACGAAAACAAGAACATGTCCAGAAAACTCGCAAAGATTATGACACAGGCCAAACAAGAACTTCCTGACTGGCTAAAGGCACTCGCAGACGTTACTCCAAAGGGTGCTTGGAAGGAAGGTTACGGTTCTAGATTCGCTGGACGCGGTGGCTACGGCCGTGGCGGCTACGGAGGTTATGGCCGTGGTGGCGGCGGTTACGGTGGTGACCGCGGTGGCTACGGCGGAGACCGTGGAAACTTCGGAGATAGAAGAGGCGGATACGGTGGCGGCCAAGGCGGATACGGAGGCAACCAGGGTGGCTACGGTGGTGGATATGGAAACCGTGGCGGATTCGGTGGTGATAGAGCTGGATATAATGGACCACGCAACTATTAATTTATAATATATTATTTGTTTCTATTCATAACAATTATTTTTAGAACAGACTTATATATTTTATTTTAGAGTTTAAAAAATAGATCTCTTTTCGTAATAATTCAATTTTTTTATATGAAATTTTTTATTTAATATGATTTTCTATATTAAACTATATCTATTTGTCTTTGATATGATTGTACTTTGTTTGTGAAATACAATAAATGAGAATTGCATGAAATTTTTTTTGCATATCAAGTAATGAAGATTATTTGATTGGACAAATATTTCTATTTCAAGTTTTAATGCTAGTTCAATATGAAATATTTTAATTAATATTAAAATTAAGAAATATATTAAATGAAAATGCAGTTATTTTAGATTTCATTAGGATAAATTCTAATAAAATTTAAAATTGTACAATGTCATCGATTCATTATATCGAAAAAAAATTCTAAAAAATCAAAAATACATATTATATACTTAAAAATGAAAAAAAAATTTATTCTATACATAATTTTTCCAAAAAAATTCGAAATTATCCAATTGTTATTTCCCATAGCTACATGTTTTTAATGACATTTGAATTATTCATGTCGATTAAATACTTAATATTACATTTTATATTGAAAATTTTCTTCCATTATTTAGATCCATTCAATGGAAATATAAATTCAGTGTGTTTAATAAAAATTCCGATAACAAACATGTAATATTTTAATAACAATAAATAATATGTACAAATAGTTAATAGAATTAAGTAATAGTAGGTCTAATATTATTGAAAATTGGAATAAGAATAATCTGCAAGCTAAGTATTTGTTGATGTTGAGGAATTAGTAGAAAAATAATTTTCATTGCAAGAAATCCAAACTATTCCTTTGTGATTCAATGGTTTTTGATATGTGGTATCATTTTTTTGAGCATCTGAGGCTTGTACTTGCTTGGAGAAGAATTTGAGCTTCCGGATTTAGTTGGATCTTTTTTCTGGGCTGAATGAGCCATGGACTGACGTATAACAGAAAAAGCAGGTTCGTTCTCGATCAGCTCATTCAGTTCCGCTTGTGACAAATTTTTTGCAGGACATATTTTGGAGCTGAATACCTTATCGCTAAGGAGGTTATCACATTCTCTGATCTCGATACAGTTGGATCCTGGAATCTGACGACACATATTTTTAATAAGCGGTACATTTGGAACTCGCTTTCCAATAATAACTATATCCAATGGTATATCTTCTCTAGTAAATGTTGTGGCTATTTCGTTTGCTTTTTCTTTATCATTGATTCCATGGTCTCCTCCGATAAAAGCAAGGACTCTTTTCTCTTCAACATCGGTATTGCAATACTTTAGCATTATCATGATGGTCTTAAGAGCCTTTAAAAAGTACAAGCTTCCGCCGGGTTTAATATTCTGCAAGGTCTTCAGAATTGTTGTATGCGATGATGTAAGAGAGGTACGAAGACCAAATTCCTTTGATCCCATCGTAACAATTCCTATTTGGGACTTAGGATTTGAGGAAAAATAGAATTGGGACAGTCTATCAACTGTCGTTTTTTGAGCGTCGAGCCTATTGGGGTAAAAATCTCCATCAATTGATATATCAGTGTTGTCTATTAATACTGCAATGGCGTACGGTGGCAAACTCATTGCAGATGCCACTTTTTCTTGCTTTAGGAAAATTTGGCGCTAATTATTGTTAGAGCTCATAGAAAAATTAAAATTCAAAATAATTGGTTACACCATGATTTGCAATATAACTAGTTTATTATAATATTTAGTATTCCTGGAAAATTTTACGATTATTGTAAACTATTTTTTGACAACAATTATAAAAATTTATGACTCAAAATTGTAACAAAGTATGCATTCAGAGTGTAGAAAAAGGTGTTAAAACATCAAATTTCATTCATATTACCGATGATCCTTCAAGTTGTTTAGTTTGTATACAGGGATTGCGTTTATATTACACTCCTCCTGATGTTTGCAAGTTTGTCAACAGTTTTCACACGCTTGCAAGCAATTGTCTCGTGCTACTGACAGATAAATCACCAACTTTTACCATCATTTTAAAGGCAATTTCAATTGATTCAGCGAAAGAACTTCTTAAGAAACTTAAAGCTAATCCAACACCTATTTGCTCATTAGATACGCTCACATATGATTTTGTTCAGTCATTTGAATTCGAATCACAAAAATTGCAACTAATTGTTAACAGATTTTCAACAAACGAGTTCTATGATAATAACTGTGCTATTTGCTTATACCAGTTAGTCTCAGATTTACAATTAATTACTTTCCCATGTGGACATTCAATGCATACGACTTGTGCTCAACGTATGAAGCAATGGGAATGCCCATTATGCCGTTACGCACCTATATCTTCACTTAGCCTATCTCCTTGTGAAGTTTGCGGCACTTTTGACCGTCCATATATTTGTTTATCATGTGCAAGAAGTTTTTGCTATGACCATGCCTTGGAACACTTCAAGAATACGGGCCACGGCTATTGTGCATCAGCAGATGGCAGAGAAACGTGGAATTTGATGAGTGGAACAACAATGCAACGAATTGCTATTGATAAGAGTGGAGAATACGTAGAACTTTGTGCAAAGGAAGATGTGCTGAAGTCATATCTTGAAAGCGCACTATACGAACAGTTAAATATTCATAGAGAAATTGAATGTCAAGAAACAGCCGCAATTTTACAATCTGCAGAATCAGAATTGACAGAACTTGATTATGAACTTGCTGAAAAGAGGAAAAAACTCGAATCAATGAAAAAATTAATTCAAGAAAGAAAAACAATTGAAAATAAGCTGAAAATAGCAACAACAATGCTTGAGAAGTTCCAAGAAAAGGAAAAAGATGGTCAAAAACTAAAAGAACAACTTTTGATTGAAAATGAAAAATTAAGGAATCAAATTCGTGATCAGGAGGAATTAATATCAGATATGCAAACAACAGCATCTATTACTGCTGCAGCTGTGTTAGGAGGGAAAAATAAGGAAGTTCATATCAAATTTAACCAAAAATAAAGCAAAACATAGTAATACTGTTGCATGCTAAGATCAGTCATAATGTAAACCTCTCAATTTTATTGTCGTGGGAAGTATCTCAATTCCTTCAAAAAAATTGAAAAACTATTTAATTTTAAAAATATAATACTTTTAATTAGTTAATTAATTGGAGATATTTTTTAAAAATCACTTTTGATAATACTTTTGAGAACTTTAATTAAAAAAATATATTCAAAAATATCCAGGATATCAAGAGGGAATTGTTCCTTATGAGGTATATAGTTATGATGTATACCTCATAAGGAACAATTCCCTCCTTAAAACGAGAAAACTTGTTCGAAATTGTTTATCATTTCGAACAAGTTTTCTCGTTTTTAATAACAAACTAAAGGCTATGAGGCACTGATTATATATTAGTGCCTCACAGCCTTTAGTTTCTAATAGATAGCTGGGAAACTTTCTCCAAATGATAAGTTATTCAGAAAAAGTTTCCCAGCTATCAAGAGGGAATTGTTCCTTATGAGGTATATAGTTATGATGTATACCTCATAAGGAACAATTCCCTCCTTAAAATCGTAGACATTTTTATACTTATTAATCAACCATTCAAAATCATATTCCTCTGAAAAGTTATTTTATTAAAAATTTAGAATTTTAATAAATATAGAGTTTGAATTTCATACAATACCTATATATTTTCAATAATGGAATTTGAAAACCATTCTCAAAAGTTCTCAGAAAACCTTTTTTTCATTAATTTTAAGAAATCTGAGTATTAAATTAAGTGATAAATTCGTTTGACACTACTTTAATTTTTAAATTCAAAAAATTATATGTGCTTCTTAAAATGACTCAAAAAAATTTTATTATAAAATAATATATAATATTAAAAATCCCACAACATTTTTTTACTTTACATAATCGTACTTCCTCGACGATTAATTTCCACTCAATTTCTATCGTTGACCGAACTTAGCATGCAACAATACAATAAATTCTGTGAATATCAAATGGTATTTCTGACTTTAGAAATTGATTTGAAAAAATAATTTTCAATTATTTGTCAAATGTTTGTAATATACATCATGATAATGTTAATGTTTTTAATCACTTAGATTTCGTTTTTAAATTATTGTTTTTTTTACATTAATTTTATATTTTTGACTGAATTTACAATTTTTTTCTGCTGCATCACACATCACCATGCTATACACAAATATCATTATCATATATTCTCTCATTGGTAAACTTATCATTATAATTTGTTTTATCTATTTTCAAATTTTATGATAAATCCATAATCAACACTAATAGTACTATTGTATTCATTAGAATCTTCAAACCCTCAAATATACATTCCAATCGGTGAACAATTAATTTGATATCGTTTATTTACTTGATATATCAATATTTTCGGCTATTTTTAGTATTATGTTCATGAGTGAAATTGTTTCACAATAAGTATTTAATGAATTGTATAATGATTTGCTCTTGTGATCAGAATTTAGCATTTTCTAATGATATAATAGACATGAGTATATCAAAATTATCAATTTTATCCATAAACAGACGAAAAAGAGAAATTTTAAAAAGATAATTACATATTTTTTATTCTTCCAAATTCTTATCGATTTCATCCGCAAGAAGATTTATTCTCTTCTTTAAATGTACGATGGTGCGAACTTTGTCTTCAAAAGTAGAATCTTCAGTTATAACAGGCATCATTCCGAACTGTTTAAGATCATAAAGCTTAGCTTCGTTGTATGCTATGTCCGCAAAATGCTTACTCATTTCCTGAATGTAAATTGGCGATATTTTTTCAAATGACTTTTTTTCGATTGGTGAAAGCTGATCTAAGTCTTCATCTTCTTCAGACTCTAATGGTAAGTATTTCTTTTCGACAATATTCTTCTTTTCGTAGATGTTTGCACGAGTTTGATCATCTTCTGTGACTTTATTCTTATTGATGTATTGTAATTTCGGACCAATTGTATACAATATTCTAACAACGCAATCATTATTCTTTTCAAGAGGTGTTTCGGTTAAATCAATACTTGTTAAAGCTGGCATTTTATCAAGACCAGTTAAATATTTAATAGGATTTCTATTTGCTATGATTGTGGTAAGATTTGGTTGCGGCTGAAGTGATTTGAAAGAAGTAATCTGATTATCTGTAAGAATTAACTCCCTTAATTTGGAACTTACGGGAATTTCATCAAGAGATGTAAGACCCATACCTGTTAGATCTAATCTGCCTTGGTTGATTGGCGGAATTTTGCTTTTGGAAGTAGACATTTTACTTTTTTTTTTACAACAGATAATTTGAGAAGGAAAATAAATCATCTCTTCATCATTAGATTAACAAATAAAATGGGCAACAAAGAATATTTTTCACCAAATAAATTTGAAAAATATCATTTTGCAACCTGAAATATTGAGGATATTTTACGTATTTTGAGTTTTTAGAGTATTATATGAAAAATCAACATCATACATTTGATAATGGTACTAGTTCATATCTCATGACATAAATATTGCAACTGATTCTTAATAATTCTAAAATTATTTGGATTTACCTCAGAGTTCATAGGTATCAAATGTTTTAAACTACTCAGAACCATCTTGTAAGAAAGAAAAATACATTTATTTAAAAAATATAAGTCAAATTATGAAAATACAAACATTTTATTAATATTATACAGATTTAAAGCTATCATTGAATACCTTTCTTGATACTGATCGATTTTCAGCATTGGATTCCTTAAGTCTGAGCTCTCCATACCATGCAGCAAGGAAATATATCGAAAACGCTTGGATAAAGGTATTTCCGTAAAGGATCCAGTTAGTAATATTGTAGTTCTCCTCTAAAATGAGCATTATACAGCCTAAAAAGGATCCGATGAAATGTAAATGTTGACTATAGATAGAAACGTTTAATGTAGTCTTCCTAGTTATGCATGAGATTAATTGAGGTATGTGTGAGATGAATTGAGTAACTGGTTTAACTAAGTCTGTGATTGGAATAAGTTTTGGGGAAAAGATGCAGATTAGATATGGAATAACAACAATTAATGATAGTAATGGTGCATAGAGTACTTTACCGTATCTAAAAAACTGGAAAAGAAATAAACAGTGTTCGATAGTGTTAAGGAAACCGTATAAAAAAAGAGGAAAACCACTCCCGTTGTAAAGAGAGTTGATACATAAGAAAGCCGAACCAATTAGTTTTAACGTGATTGAACTAAGACTGAATCCTTCAACTGATTCTCTAGACATATTCAAAAAGTATTGAGGAACGTAAACTAAAAAGAAACAAATTGATGATAAATTTCCAAGTCCAATGCTTACTTGTTCTCTCGATATGTATTTTATTGTGAAATCGTAAGCTTTCACTAAAATCGAAAAAATCAAATTTGACATTCGTTACATTTATAAAAAGTGACAAGTTTTAAAACAAAATTTCAAAATATCAATTTAACTAGAAAACCAAACAAAACTTCTAGAGCTAATATACAACTATCTAAATGCAGTATATTATGAGTTTTGCAAAAGTTTGCGCTTTAGCAAAATATTGATTGCAGCACTCTAAAATGGTTTATTGTGCAACTAGAGTGCATGTATAAAAAGTTATTTCTTTACTAAAACAATACAAAATGAAGAAATGAAATGATATGAATAATGATAAACAATTTTATATTTTGTGATAATATTCTTCTTTATCACTAAATCTAAAATAGGATAATCAGTTTCACACAGATATGATGAAAAGTGAGAAAGAATATGAATAGAATATATATTTTGAACATTATTTGTTGTAACTGATTCATATGTTTTATCTATTCTGTCACAGAAAGAATCTTTAACTGTAATTGAACCAGAACCCCATTGATGAAATTCTACTCCTGGTCCTGTGTTTCCAAGAAATGAACAGTTTTCAATAAGAACAGTTGATCCACCTGCCCAGAATGTTCCATAATCAGATTTTTTGTGTTCATTATTCAAAACATTACAAAAATTAAAATTATAATTACCATAAATTAAATTTAAAATTAAATTATTTGATGTTGTGTTACAAAATGATGAATATGTTACATTACTTAGACTTGTTGGTTGATGTAGAAGTATTCCTGAGTCATAGTCTGCTTCAGAGAAACTTGTGTTGATTGATTTAACTTCAATATTTCCATAATAAAGATAATTTGTATCAGATTTTTCTAAATTTCCGCATAAATAAAAAGAACTTTCATAAAGATAATTTTTAGTATTTGAAATAAAAACTAACAAAACATATGAATGATGCCCTTCATCAGTGTTTGTTTTTGATTTATAGCTACATGTTCGGTATTGGACAATGGAACTATCACAATGAAAGTAGATAGATCCACCATATGAATTACTACTGCAGTTATTAAATAAACAATCTGCGTTAAGAAATTTATTGCTCGTATTCGTAAAATAAATGGCACTTTTAGTTGTAATGGTGATAAATATGCTTTCATATATGAAACATTCATTATTTGTTGATCTTGCTGTAATATTAGTCCCGGTGATGGGTTTTGGAGAAGTTGTTGTTCCATAAAAAAGTTCCCAAACATCACCAGCAGATTGTGAGAGATCAAAAACTTTCTCTTCCGAAAAAAAGAATTGTAAACTTCAGAAAATTCAATGTTAACATCATTTTTTTAAGGGTCCACGGTCCGGTCAAGCGAAGGCTATCGTTAATGCCCAAAATTTATATGAAAAGGCCCATATCTAATTAGATATCAAATTATAGGTTCTAATTTGATATCATATTTATATACTGTTTTCAATATAATTTTTGGATTTCGTTAACCCAGGAGCTCCAAAAAATCAATTAAAAATAAAGACGATAACGATAATTCTCATTTTAGCATTCAATTTTTGAATAGTATTGAAAATGTACCGTGGACGCTTAAAGTCAAAACCGAATGTCTTTAAATAGCTAAAAACAAATCTTCATTTTTATGTTTGAATCGATTTTTCGGTTTATTTGTATTTCAAATATTTGGTTGCACAACTTCAGGCTTTCCAGAATGGCATAAACCTCCTCTCATCTCACTCAAGATCTTAATAATAGTCTACCCAATGCTGTGGCTGCAGAACTTTGTCCTCAGACCCTTTAAAATATGCAATACATGAAGAAATTTTGTACATTTTAGATCTTTTCCTCTATCCTAACCTACGTACGCAATACATATTTAATTAAGAAAACACTTGACCAAAAAAATCTCCAAGGACAATCGAATTACAAAATTTTCTTCTTCTTTCAATTTTAAGGATGGTCAAAGAAGAAGCGTCCTCACGTTAAGATAAGGAAATCCAGATGTTTATATTTATATTTTAGAAGTTATGGTGTCATATACCCATGCAACAATACCATTTTATCAAATTTGATCTGGCAAACTTTTTTTCCTTTTTTCACTCCTTGAAGAAAGATTTAAATTTCAACCATTGTAAATTCACTATATTTACTGTTTACATATTGCTATGTGCTAAGAATTGGCACAGCTGTATCATTTAAACAATAATTGAAATGTAAAAAAATATATATAAAGTTTAGAATTGTTTTATAGATAAAAAAAAGAGAAAAAATTTAAACTAAATTATATTTCTATTTTTGTTTTTTGATTTCTTCCTCTAACTTACTCTCGTATTCTTTGCGTTGACGATCGCGAACAGATTGTTGACGGTTAAGTTGTTGTGTCTTAACTTGTGCAGAAAGCATAGATGACATCATTTCTGAGAAACCGAACTTGTAGTATTCGGATGGCATCAAATCATCATCGTTAGTAACATATGTATCAAGAGAATCAACAACAGTTTGTGAAACAAGATGTGAGTTCTTCTCGTTAGATTTCTTGAGGAAGTACCAAAGTAAGATCTTCTCAAAAACAAAGCAAAATGCAACATCAATAAGACACAACAAAATCAACTGAAGTTGGAACTTGAATGTTGGAAATTCTGCAAGTTGTAACCATTTGTTAAGACCGGGGAAGACATTGAACATGCAGATGATGTTCAATAAAATGGTGGCCATGAAACCAAAGATCAATGACTTGTTCTCTGAGAACGACTGCATGAATGGCGCACCGGTGTAGTTGCAGCAGAAACTCATGGTGTCCATAGTTGTGTAGACTAAGTAAATAGCAGTGTTCAAAAGTGTTGGTTCGAACTTAGATCGTGTGTTCAATGTATCGTGTTTGTAACCGACGGCGAAGACTAATGAGTGTGTCAAGTGGAGAATAACTAAGTGGACAAACCATTGAATGAAGATGGAACTAAGAAGGTAGATGTTGAACTGACCTGGAATAGGACGTAATGAACTAAGCTGACGTCTTGGTTTAGCCCATGCCATGGAGATAGAAACAAGACTTGTGATGATGCCTGAAAATGTAAGAAGATGATCGGATGCACGGACATTCTCAAGATTCAAGATTGTAAGGTGATAACACTCTAAAACAACTTTGATCGCACATTGTTTGAACATGTCTGTAGTCGATGTCAATGTTGCACGACCAAAGCGAATGATGTCGATAACTGCGGTAACTGTGCCTCGCTTAGAAACAAATGGAGCAGCAATAGAAGCTGCACCTAAACTGCTGCGATAGCCCATCTGTGATGAGAAATCTGTCATCATCTTTTCCATACTATTCTGTGTATTATTATTTTGATTGTTCTCATTATTATTTTGTTGATTTTGATTCTGTGGTTGTGTTTGTGTTTGTTGTTGTTGGTTTTGTTTGGATTCGGATTTGTCATCATCAGAAATAAGACCAACACCAACATGAGCGTTCTTGATAGCACCAACATCGTTAGTGCCATCACCACACATCAATGTAACATGACCAAGTTTGTTGAGTGTGATGATGATGCGAAGTTTCTGTTGTGGTGACATACGTGAGAAAATGTTGCATTTAGAAACAACAGATGCAAAATCTTCTTCAGAAAGATGTTCAAGAGCAGAACCTGTGTAAACAAGTTCTCGATCTTCATTAGATGTTGTTTCAAGAACATTGCCAAATTCATCAATAGTTTCAAATTGACCATCAGAATAATCATGGATCTCTAAGTGACGGTCAAACATGTGCAAACGCTTCGCAACATGTGCAGCTGTAAGAGCAGCATCGCCGGTGATGATGATAACACGGTGTTGGCTCTTTAATAATTCAACAACAGTGTCTTCTGAGCCACGCTTCAATGGTGCATCGAAAATTGCAAAGCCTGCAAAAATAAAGTTCTTCTCGATGTCATCGCGTTTAGCAGTGGATGGATCGTAGTTGAATTCAAGAATCCTGTAGCCAAGAACAAGGACACGGCAACCTTGACGAGCATATTTAAGATATGCCTGTTTGTAATCACTTGGAACTGTTGTTAATAGTGGTTGGACTGCTTCTGGAGCTCCTTTGATAACTGCAATAGGTTGTGTTCGACCTGAAACATTGCAAACAACGGTCATACGCTTAAGTTCGGATGAGAAATGATATTCCTTGATTGGTGTAATAGAAATATCGCCATATGTAGCACTCTTGTCACTGTTCAGTTTGAAATGCATCTGTTGGAATGCGGCTGATTCAAGTGAATCACCAATGAGCTTGCCGTACTTGCCACGGATGAGTGAGTGGCAACCACCAACAACCCACATGGATTCAACTGGCATTTCTGATGGTGATGAGAAGTAGTTGCCTTTGATTGTCTTGTTCTTTGGTGCAGCGGGTGCATTAAGTGTGTCGACACCAACAAGTTTGTACTCTTCTGATGTGAGTGTGCCCGTCTTATCGAAACAACATGTTGTGATACCACCGGCAAGTTGGATTCGGTATGGTTCTGTTGTATAGATGTCGAGTTTAGCAAGTGAATTGACTGATGTGTTGATCTGCATAGAAATAGATGTCTGAAGATCGGGTGGAGCTGCTTTAGTGAAAATCATAAGAGAATTGACAATCAAACGGAAGATGGTGCTGTCGGAATCTGTCTTAGCTGAGAAGTAGTAGTACAATGTAGCAATAACTGAGACACTGGACAATAAACCAAGGATTTTGTATGAATCTCGGAACTTAGTCTGATCGTACTGTGAACCAAACATAATAGTACGAAGAAGACGACCTTGTGCACTACCAAAGCCTGTGGAGATAGCATAGCAAAGTGTGCCTTCTTCGGGTAACGTTTTATCTTTGGCTGAAATGATCTGTTCGATACGAGTACCACCGAAGATAATATGACGACGGTGTTTCTCTGTGTTCAATGTTGTGTCTAATGGAAGACCATCAACAGTGTCTTTCAATTGTGGGGTAGATTCACCAGTAAGCATAGCTTCGTTGACAACGGCACGACCTTTGAGGATAACAAGATCACATGGAGCGTTGATTTCGTTTGGAATAAGGACAAGATCACCTGGAACAATTTTATCCGATAACATCTTCTTCCATTTCCTATCTCTGTAGACGTTGACTGCAATAGGAACAAGGTCAGCACCACGGAGATCTGTGTAGTTTGCATGGAATGTCTTGATATTGGAGTACTCCATGAAAATAAGTTGGGCCATGTAGACAAGAGGAGTCGTAAAGTATTCATCGAGAAGGAGGATGATGCAGTTGAAGAATTGGAAGAAAATAAATGGAGATTTGAGGTTTTCAAATAAAAGTGTTGACATTGATGGGATCGGTAGCTTATATTGGTTCAGGCCATAGTATTCTTCTCTCTTTGTGGCTTCTGCGGATGAAAGTCCTTTAGCACCCAAATAATCTTGTATCTGGAGTTTCGTTGGATATTGTAACGAAACGAATTGACAATCTTTATACTCGCGCTTCTTTTGCTGGAAATAGACGTAAGATGGCTTTCCACGGACATATTCAACAATACCTGGAAGACCTTTGTGTGGATCTGGATGAAATGCAACATGTGTTGCTGTTTTTTCGGTTGCCTTATCATAGTGCAAATATTCATTCCATTTTGGTAACCAATATGAAAGAATTAAGAAAATAGTGTGAATTAAAACGACAAAAACGGGTAATAATACAATAAATGCGTGTGGTTCTAATGCTTTAGCATCAACGTGATCGAAAATAAACGCGAATGAACTGTTGGATGGATTATCTGGCTCTTCGTAAATCCAATGTTTATCAATTAAGGTATACGCTGGATAGAAGATCAAGGAATAGATAATAACAAATGGAACAATATCTAACCTAGAGAATAATGGCTTCTTTGTGACAAAGTTGTACTCTAAAGGCATGTTTTTATAATTTGGTTTGACAAAAAATTATGAGACTTGTTTAGCAAATGAATGTTTTCATCAATATTTAGAATAATAATTTAGTAGCAAATAAGAATGATTCATAAAATTACCTTGTTATGCTAGTAAATTTTTTATTGATCATTTTAATTTGGCCATTTCATCGTGGAACTCATGAACATACAATGTATTATACATATGAATTCTTAACAATACTGTCAAATTACTCAAATTAGTATCATGTGTGAAGAAAATTTTGTAATTGCTATTACAGTTCAAAAAATGCTACATACTAAACATAAAGATTCTATAAAATCATTTAACCAACAAGTTATTTATATTAAAACAAATATGAATTTCAAATCAAAAATCGCATCCATTGCATTTAATAAATTGAGAATAAAATTGTCATGTACTGCATATCTCAATAGGATATTATTCAGTTAACATAAAAATCGAAGATTCTAAATTATTCAAAGCATAGGATACTTCGATTTCTTATAGTAAGTAATCGAAAAGAGACAATAAGCATATATAAGGATGAGTTAGGTTTTACATTCATTGGCCAAAAAAATAAATAATTTTACTGAGAAGAATAGTCGCGGAAAACCTTATTCATGAGTAAATTAAACTCGTTAACATCTAATACACCATTCTTATCCTTGTCAAACTGGCGAAGATATGTTTCGGCTTGACCAGTAGATACGCGTTGTCCAAGTTTAGAGAAAATGGAAGAAATTTCATTGACAGAGATTGTGCCAGAATGGTCTAAATCACAGGCTTCGAAGAGTTTCTTGATTGTATGATCGTGGATTGTGGCAAAACGTGTGTTTGGCATATCTCCGTAAATGGATAAGAATTGTTCTAATGAAATGTTCTTATCCTGTGGGATACCAATGATTGTATAGAAACAAACGGATGCAGCTAACGGCAATTTTCCTTTGAAGCCGAGTTTTTGGAAAAGGAGAGAAAATTCTTTGAAGTCAAGAGCTCCACTCTTATCCTTATCAATTCTGTTGAAGAATTCAGTTAATGACTTTGCAACAGCACTCATAGAACTATCACCGTCACCTTTTAACAATATTTTTTTTCAAATTCTGTATTTGAGATAAAAATTAAAGCTTTTATACATTTTTCATTATTTAATTAATATTATGGATATTACATACAATTACATTTTCTGATCTTTTCTGAAAATTGAAAGCAACGTTTTCTATTTTTTGTGACCGCGTGGCCTTTCGATTTTATTCAGAAGAATTAAACCTTTTATTCTACATAGCCAATATAACGAAAGAGGCAACTAGCATGATACGTATATTTCGTCGATAAATGCCTCCTATTAGAATACGATCATTTTTACCAGATTGACTATATGATGTACCTGAGCGTTCTTACATTAAGCATATGCCACAAAGATCTATCCGATCATCGATGAGCTTTAACTTTTGTTATTTAAATTTTATTGAACCTGCAAACTGTTTTAATATGTGTATGCGCCATAAAATGAAGATAATCACAGGTTTACCTGTAAATTTTAATAAAAGATATATTTTTTAAATTAAATATTGTCTTATTATGATTCCAAATGATATTTCTACCTTAAAATGCTATATTTTTCATTAGAATATCGATAACAGGTGTAAGAAGTATCCAGCGGCTCGTAAACATATATAGAAAGAGATTCTTAGAAAATAGAATATTAAAAGAACTGTAATTGATCTATACTGAAAAATTTAAGTATATTCTCCAAAAGATTTAAGCTATTGGATGAAATTAACATTTGAAAATTGTTTTTAATAGGGATTTATTACTACTTGAATGGAACAGCTTGTATTGATTTGGTAACTTATTCCAAATAGCCATGGCACCAATCCATTAATGAAAAGTGTATTTACGCAAGATGAACTTATAGATCTTTATGGTTGGATAGATACAATACCATTATCCAGAAAAAAGAGGAACTTAGCAAGAGACTTTTCAGATGCAGTATTAATGGCCGAAGTAGTGAATCATTTTTATCCAAAATCCGTTGATCTTTTCAATTATCAACAGGGATTACGTGTCGATACAAAAATTTACAACTGGACATATCTTAATGAAAAAGTTCTCAAAAAATTACATTTTCCTCTTGATACTCAAACAATCACAGAATTAGCTAACTCAACTCCAGGAACTATTGAAAGAGTTTTATGGAATTTTAGAGATTTAGTCGATTGCAAACCAGAAGAAAACGAAAAACCATACTTCATTGACTCTGACTCAGATCTTGACAGAGATCCAGTTGAACAATATACAGAATCGCAATCTTTTCAAGATAGAAAACTTCTCGAACAAAAAATTGCAGAATGTGAAGAACATGAAGAATATATTTCATTACTTGAAAATAAAATCGAAAAATTAGAACAACTAATTAAGCTTAAAGATGCTAAGATTGCTAAATTAACACGTCAACTTGAGAAAAGACAATAAGCTTTGGCAATTACAAGAGTCTTGATTTACAATTTTCCGAAAGATTGAAAATATTAGTACTTTACAAATTAGTAAGCATGAAAGAATCTTATCATGCAATAATTATTACATTTATTACTTATGTTTTTGTTTTCATTGAATAAAATGTTTTCATTTTTGAAACAATGTCATGAATCATATAAGGTATGAGATGGATATGAGATTGGAAAAGTCTGAATCAAGATTTGAGATTAATATTTATGAACAATTGTCTTAACATTATGATCGATAAAAATTTTTAGTTGTAAATAGTACATGTATATATTCCATTAACAAGTTTATTCAATAATTATTTAAAAATTGTGATTTAATTATCGAAAGATATTATAAAACAAATGTTATGTGAAGGGACTTTAGCTCACCTGGGAGAGCGTGCGACTGAAGATCGCAAGGTACGTGGTTCAAGTCCGCGAAGCCCCAAAATTTTTCTTTTTCCATTTTCAAGATACATTTTTCAAGGAAAATTTAGAACTATATTTTTTTATAAGTATGAAATAAGAGTTTCCTGTATCACAATATATAGAAGTTCAATTATTTGATTATCTAAACATATTACCCTGAATTCAAATTTATTTTTTTTTTATTCTGGTCATAATTACAAGAGAAGACTCAATAATTATGATCTACAACATCATTCAACTTAAATTTGAGATCATTATCTCAAGTTATATGATAATATTTCCGGAGTATTTGAAATACTTGCTTTGCTAACACTTACAGTGGATCATTGAATATTATTGCAATAGTAACTATTTCATTGATGGGCAGAATTTTTGAGCCAACATTACAATTGTTTGAGTTAAGTTCTGTATCACCGATACATTTATACATTTTTATGGTCTCCAAATAAGGCAATTCGTTTTTTATAAAGAGTCAAATAGAAATCTTTATTCAGATATTAAATCATTTGGTTTGTTGTTAATAAATAACTTGTTATATGATTATCTATATTCTTTGTTATTATCTTACGAACACAGAAATAAACAATAAATGCAGCTATAGCAACAATGCAAATGATCATTATTATAAATCCTGCTAATCTTATTTTGCTATAATATTGAGTATTGTACCCATGCCAAATCAACAATCCAGTGATTTTATAATAGCCATCATCCTGGATATCCTTCCAGACATTTGAAGAATTAAATTCGATTTCAGTTCCGTTAAATTCAATTGTTTCATTAAATTTAACAGGAATTTTGTTTCCAAATTTTATCTTTGTCAGATTATTACAACCAACAAAAATATTTGTTGATAAAACATTAACTGTTTCCAACGAAGTCAACAATAATTTAGTTAATGATGAGCACTTGTAAAAGTGATAATCTCCTTCAAACTTTGTTACTGATGATAAGGATACTTCACTTAAACTCATGCATTGACAGAAAGTTCCATTTTTGAGAACTTTTAGCTTTGAAAATTCAATGGATTTCAATTTTTCGCAATTCGATAAGATTTCAATTCCTGTTTCTTCAACGTTTGGGGCATCTAGTTTCATTAAGTTTTTGTCATTCATGAATGCTTTGTCATGAATTGTTCTCAAGTTCGGAAAGCTAATTTCAGTCAGACTGAAACAAAATGAAAAACAATTTTCTTCCAATATTGAGACATATGGAAGAGAAATTGATTTGAGATTAGTACAATGAGAGAAAGTATCTTTTGGAACTAAATCTAATAAATCAAATGAAACAGACTCTAAATTGCTGCAAAAAGCAAAACATTCTTGCCCAATGCTTGTCACTTTTGGTCCTTTGACATTTGTCAATTTTTTGAATGAACTGAAAGTTTTTGGACCTATTTTGGTTGTATCTCTTAAAATAACTTCTTCAGTAACAGAAACATCATTAAATGATTCTTCGGTTATCTCGTCGATATCAAGAAGTGTTATCTTTTTGACGGAAAATTTCGAATTTGACAAAAAATCAATATTTTTACCTAATGTCAGATTTTCAATTTCTTGACATGAAAAATCTTCATAAGATTCTAAATTTAACAAGACTAATTCATTGATAATTTTTCCAGATAAATCTTGTTTCTTCAATGTCGTTACTTTTTCAAGTTTTATTTTTGTCAATTTTGCGCAATTTGACAAAGCATTTTGGCCGACCAAATTACAGTTTGGAGCTGATATTTCCTCAACAGATTTTCCTGAGAAAGTTTCTTCTGAGATTGTTTCAACCTTTGGCATAGAAATTTTGACGAAATCAATACCAACAAAATCATCTTTCTTGACACTTTTTATTGATGTCAAAACAAAATTTGTCACAGTGAAAGTCAAATTTAAACTTAAATTAGAGTTCAAATATGAACTGCCAAAAGTGAACTCATCTATATGGCCGACAGTAATGTTTGTGTGCTTTTCAAGTAGAGGTGCATAAATTTTGGTGAAATTTTGATTTGGATTTGCAATTATTCCAATTTCAGTGCAAACTGGTAAATAAAGGCTTTTAATTGATGGATTATCATCAAATACGTAATTTCCAACAAATTTGCATTTAGGGAAGCTGAAATCTTGTATTCTTAACTCGCGAAGACAATTATTATTGAGAATTTCGACATTTTGGAATGAAATTGTCTTGAGATTTGAGCATGTGAGGAATGCATTCTCACCTATTGCAGTTACGCCATCAGCAATGAATGTTTCTATGTATTGATAAAAAATCATAAAATCTTTAGGAATCATTCCTGTAAATGACTCTGGAGCGATGTAAACGTATGATACTTGTGGCAATACTGAGTTATTGATCTGATCAATTTCAAGATCGCCTTTGATAATTGTTACATTTCGAACTTGAAACGGTAAAAATGGACAAAGAAAGGACATATGCGTAAAATTGTCACCTTCACAGTATTGTCCATCAACGTATGCATGTAATTGGTATTCAATTTTGCCGAGGCAAAGTAATGATAAAAACATTTTATTTAAAGTGTTTTTATGACATGCGTTTGTTTGAGAGATGTAATTACATGATTATTTTAAGTATGGTTCATGAATGAAATGGGATGCCAATTGGCATTAAAATTTAAATCGCTGATTGAACATGTAATTCTATTCTCACAACCATACTTATGCTTGTCTGTTATGATATTTCAGTGAGTTCACTTATGATATATAACAGAGACATATTACTCATGTAATGATCATATTCTTGAAAAGTGACATTTTGGAGAAATTCATTACAATAATGCCTAAGGCAGAAAATTTATAAAATTTGAAGGAAATGAGAGGAATTTAAAAAAAAGGTAGTGGGGCTTCCAGGCGCGTTGCGCCCTCTAGCCCTGAAGATGTTTAGTATAAATGAAGTTTTTATTCGGAGGGCTTCCAGGCGCGTTGCGCCCTCTAGCCCCGAAGATGTTTAGTATAAATGAAGTTTTTATTCGGAAAATTGTTAGTCTTCTGGGTCGAAAACATTATATAATGTGTCGCTTTTCACAAATTATATATGTTTTCATGTTTTGTCACTTTTCTGTCACTTTTCGGGTAAAAACATTTTTATTATTATATATAAATGAATTTTACAAAACCGCCGTTACCGTTCTTTGAAAATAAGAGTAGATGTAAAGATATTATATTGAGAGAACTTAAGAAACTACCGAATGGTCTAACATTTGTAGATTTGCTCGGTGGAAGTTTCTATATATCCCATTTATGTCATACCGTATTTCCTGACTCAAAGATTATATGCAATGACTTCGACAACTATATGAACCGTCTCAAACATATTCCAGACACAAACAATATATTGAAAGAGTTAAAAGAAAAGATACCTATAGGTAAGATGGAACGTATACCATTAGATAAGAAAAATATTGTGAGAGAGGTTTTGAAAAAAGCAGAATATATAGACTGGGATAGTATATCTGCTAGACTATTATATAGTGGTGCTATAAGAGTTCATGACATTGAAACACTTATGTCAAAAGTTTTATATCTTAACTATACAAATGTTTTCAAAGAGGACATAGAAAAATATATTGAGGGTATAGAGTTTGTGAGATGTCGTTGGACAGAGTTGTATGAAAAATATAAAGACAAGGAAAATGTTTTCTTTATAGTGGACCCGCCGTTCTATAACACATGGGATTTTCAATACCAAGTAGACTGGACTTTGAGAGACTCTTTAGAAACTTTAGACGTTATACATAACCATCCATGCTTTTACTTTACATCCGATAAAAGTGGTTTGGAAACCGTTATGAGATGGTTAGAGGACATACATGACTATGAGTTTATATATGACAAGATAGAATATGAGAGAGGTCCTATAAACAGGAGAAAGTGTCACAATAAAGAAATTTTATTAGTAAGTAAATGTGGTTTGAAATAGGACTACTTGTTTTAGGTTTTTTCCATTGTGTCATTTATTTATTTGACGTGGCAGAAAAGTACAGAGAATATGAAGATGAACCAATGCCTGCAAATGTTCAGTATATGTACTCGTAAGAGATATTTTTATCTAATATTAAATGGACGCACAGAACTTAGCGAATGCACAGCAACCTGGACAACCAAACCCAGAGAATATTCCAAATGAAGTTAGAATACAAACTGCAATGGCAAACTATGGTCAAGTGCCAACAGATGTACAAATGCAAACTGCCATGTCAAATGACGCTGCGTTAGGTTTGCCACCATGGTATGCAAATATGAGATGGAAAGAGTTTTATACAAACCCTGAAGTGGGATATAAACAACTTTATGCAGATGACGCGAACACAGGAGTTGACCCAGAATATGTTTTCTACCAGAGGAGAAACAGAATGTATGAGCTCCAGTTAAAGAATGCTATGGAACTCAACAGGAAACGTAAGAGACTAGGCGGACATTAGATTTTTACTACTAGTAAAATGGGTTTCTTCAGTAGTATTGGAAACTTCTTCAGAAGAGTTGGAAGAGGTATATGGAATGGAATAAAATCTGTCGGAAAAGGAATTTGGAACGGTGTCAAAAATATTGGTAAAAGAGTAGGTCAGTTTGTTGGTATTATACCTAAAGACCCTGAACCAGAAGAACAAGTTCCTGTTATACAACAGCCTGAACCTGCACCACAGTCTAGTTGGCAACCAAATCCAACACCTCAACCGTATTAAAAAATTATATTTTTACCGTTCGATAGTAGTTGTATATGAAACTAAGTTCTAAGTAAAACGCATGGTATAATGGAATTATTCTTTTTCTTCCATCTGTAGTAAACCATACTTGAAAGTCTGAAATACTTCCACTTGGTGGTTCGTATAACTTTGTAGGTTTTTCGTAAAAGTCATTTGCCAAGCATAAGAAAGAGTTTTGGGCGCCAGAAAATGAAGCATGAACAATAATAGCATCTTGGTCGAAAATATTTTCATATGTTCCATTAGGGTTTTCGACTTCATAATAGTCCGGGTTTACTGGATATGCTGCAGGCTGATTTAACATCCTCATAAATCTATACCATGCCAAGTTGTTATATTTTGTAGAAATATAAACGTTTTCTCCAAGGTCTTCTATTTTATTGATTTTAACAGTTGCATTTTTCCTGTCATAAATAATATCGAGATGGTATTCTCCTTCGTCAATGTTATACTGGTTTGCATATTCAATATAGATATCGTTTATTTTTTCTTGAAAAGCTTGAAGAGTTGTTTCTAAGTTTATAAGCAAACTAACTTGTAAAAGTTTTCCCTGTTCAAATTTCTCATACATACGTTTTTCTTTGTTATAGTATCGAACTTCAAAACCGACCGTAAATGGGAAACCATGTATGGCTTCTGAAATGAACTTCATTCTACGAAAGCCAATAGCTTTTGTGACGGATGGGTCTCTTAACCATCTTAATGGGTAGTCAAAACGATAGCCTTCATGCTTTACGGTATCTGTCTCAAACTTTTGACCGACATTAGTAAAAAGTTCATCTAATGGTTTAGTTGTAGCAACTCTAGAATTTTCTTTTTCTATTGGAAGCATATTTTATCTATAATAAAAATGTCAAATGAAACAGCGTCTATGAGAGAAATACAACACAACCGACAACTCATTATGCAAGCTCTAAATAAGAACACAACAAACCTTTCAAACTATTCTAAGATATCTGAGTCATTGAAAGAAGGAAACTTAAAACTGACATTAAACCCTTTAACAGATGAGTTTCTATTTCAAGACAAGAAGAACAATACTGTCTGTATAAATCCAACAAAAGGAACTTTAAACGAGAAACCTATAAATGAACTTCTTTTGAAAGCAGATGTTGACAACAAAGCTGACAAAGAATATGTAGACGATGCAATAGCAAAAGAAGAAGAAAGAGCTAACAATGCTTATGCAACAAAAGAACATACTCATCCTGAACTAGCAGACAAAACATATGTTGACAATAAAATGTCAAGTGAAGTGACAAGAGCTGAAAACGAATATTCTAAAAAGACTCATATACATTATATTAACCAAATACCAAGTCTTAAGGAAACATTAGAGACAAAAGCAGATAAGACTCATACGCATTCTATATCTGATATTACAAACTTACAAGAAACCTTAAACAGGAAAAGTGACGTTGGACATACACATTCTATATCTGATATTACAAACTTACAAGAAACCTTAAACAGGAAAAGTGCCGTTGGACATACACATACCATTGCAAATATTACAAACTTACAAGAAACCTTAAACAGGAAAAGTGACGTTGGACATACACATTCTATATCTGATATTACAAACTTACAAGAAACCTTAAACAGGAAAAGTGACGTTGGACATACACATACATCTTCTGAAATAACAGACTTAAACGTTAGCCTTGAAAAGAAAGCAGATAAAACATATGTCAATGAAATATACCAAAGTTTGATAGGAACAAAAAATATTGAAACTATTGTTGGTGACTTTTCTGTCAATGAAGAAAATAAATATTTTAGATGGCAGTTGGTACAGTCCTTAAAAAATGGTACACGGCATAAACTCATTCCGAAAAATAACAATGAAATGTATGTAAGCTATAAAAAGAATGATGGTACACAAGTTAAAGTTCCATTAGACAACAACTGCTACTTAAACTTATATGGAGACGAACAAAAGAAATATTTAAGAGTTTATGAAATGGCAGATATGACATTGCCTGACCCAGCTCCAGCACCACATTATTATGACTATGGAGATGACGACAGAACACCACGTGTAGATGAACAAAAGCTAACATTATATTTAGATTATTATAGATATAAAAGATATAATGCAATAGAAAAAACGAGAATAGTATATTATTATACAGATGACAGAAATAAATATTATAGTCAAAATTTTACCTACCCTGAAAACATAAGATTATATTATAAAAAATATTCTGACACAAACCAGAAGAAACCTGAAATAGCTGCACTATATTTTAAGTTCAAAAAAGACAATCCTATAATATCTCATATGTTTGATTTAATGAACCCAGTAGGTTCTATTTATACATCTATGGATGCAAGAGGTCCTCAAGTAATGTTTGGTGTTGGTGCATGGGAACAAATAGTCGACAGGTTTTTGTATTGTGCAAACTCTTCAAAGGAAACAGGTGGAAGTAAAACAATTTCAGGTGAAAATTTACCTGCACACGGTCATTACATAGATTTAAGTACATCTCAAGCAGGTTGGCATAAGCATAGATATTGGGATTGGTCAGGAATGACAAAAGGTAAAGGATATGATGTTAAAGACGAGGTTAAGTTTGCTATAAATTGTTACTGGAGTGACACTCAGGGAGAAGGAAACCATACACATTTCGTTTCAGGATATACACAAACAACGGGACAAAGTAAAGAATACATGCCACCTTACATGACAGTTTACGCATGGTATAGAATTGCTTAGTCGTCATTTCAACTCTTTAGCATATTCGTCAGGAGTTGTCTTATATTTGTTAGGAACTGTCTTTGAAAGTATACCACCTTGAACTTTGACAAGTTTGAAACGAGGTCTGGCAATAGTAGTTTTATCTTCTGCTTGCAGTGTGTACATTTTGCCATGTTTGCCTAAAACTTCATAATATTCTCTTGTATACTTTCTTCTATTTTTACGAACACGAATGTGAGTACCTGTCGGGTTCCCATTGTTGTCATAGTCAATAGTATTTTCATATGGGTCGCGTTTAGGTATTTCTATTTTTACTTTGTCACCTTTCTGAAGTTTGAAGCCCGGCATTCTTTCTTGTTTGTCTCTTTTGACTAAATTATTAAATATATAGTCTTTCTCTAAGTCAGGGTTGTTTTTCATTTCTTCGGGGGAGTGGTTTTCCAAACCTTTTTGTTTACGGTTATTGTAAATATTTAAAACTTGTCTCATCTTTGCCATGGAGAAGTGTCTATATTTGTCGTCATATGACATTTCATTTGCTTCACCACCTTGTGGTTGGTTTAAGTCTCTTAACATTTTTATACAACCGTCAATGACACCAAGAGCAGAATGGTTTTGGTCGACAATGAAATATTGGTTTACATTTTTTGAACGCAGATAGTTTTTAATATCATCTGATTTGAAAGAACTTTCACAGTCAGATGTCAGTTTTGTTGGATGGTATTTGTCAACGAATATTGTCAAAGCAGTTTTCACATCTAAAATATTTTTGGACCATAATGGTATGGCTTCACAGTATCTTGTGTTTTGACCAACAAATATTAACCAGTATGGAGGTCCATCTGTTCTAACTCTCGGAATGTTTTCCAAGATATCCATAAACCAAGCATTTGGTGTTGAACTAAAGATTTTTATCATGAGTGCTTTCTTTGTCGCTTTAGAAACATAGGGGTCCTTGTTTGGATTCGTCATTTTTTACCCTATAAGAAATGGGTTTATTTGGCGCATTAGCAGGAATTGCATCCAGATTTTTGCCCGCAGTGGGAACAATAGCCAGAGGTGTATTTGGAGTTGGAAGGAAGATTTTGAGTACATTAGGTATACTTAAAGAGAAAGCACAACCTATTATACAAACTGTACAGAAAGGTTGGGATGTAGCACGAGATGCAACAAATCTTATTCCAAATCCTGAAACAAGAGGAAAAGTTCAAGGATGGATGGACAATGTAGGAAGACAAGCAGGAAACTATTATAACAAAGCAAATGACTACTATAACCAAGCAGGACACTATATGGACCAAGGTGAAAGATTCTTTAACAGAGGATATAACCATGCACAACAGTGGGTAAACAATAACCAACCTCAACCGCCTCAAACGTGGGGAATGTAAATTTTTTTATTGGGATGAAATGAACAATGCAGCATTGAGACAAATGAGTTCAAGATGGATTTGTCGGCTTCCAGCATTTACACCACGTGTTTGTAAAGTTCTTCCTATACCTCAGGAAGTTTTAGACCGACTTAAAAAACCCAAACAACCAGTTGAAAACAAACCAAACTAATTTTTTTTACTGAGATGAAATGAACAATGCAGCTTTAAACAGAATAAGTCATGGAAGACCACCTTTTACACCACGTGTTTGTAAAGTTCTTCCTATACCTCAGGAAGTTTTAGACCGACTTAAAAAACCTAAACAACCAGTTGAAAACAAACCAAACTAAAATTTTTTACTGAGATGAAATGACCGAAGAAGTTGAAACGGTAGATTTGACACCACAAACAAAAAGTTCAGAACCATTGTCAAAACCTGTCAAAGAACTTACAGATGAAGAGAAAAATTCAATAATAGAAAGTGCCAGGTCTGGAAATACAAACCCTAACTATAAAGTCACTTTTCATAGAAATGGAACGGCTAGTATCTCAAAAAAGAAACAGACTCTCACAAATAAAATATTGAAGTCTGAAGGAGCTTTCGAGACAACATATGGAAAAGTTTACTTCACTGACCAACAGTTCATTATAGAACATCTCATTGACTTAGAGTCGAAATATTCTAAACTTTACAACAAACACAAAAAGTTGAAAGGAAAACAAAAACAAATGGCATATGATATTTATGAAGATGTTGACGACACAACTGTTCCTGCAAGTGAAGTAAAGTCAGAGGAACCGAAAAGTGACGAAAAACCGATAGAAGAAGAAAAACCAAAAACTGAAGATAAACCAAAACCAAAGTTTAGTTTCCAAACTAAACCAAGTCAACCTTCATTAGCTGGTATGGGTTGGCGTCAAAGACTTATGACAGCAGGCGGTTATGTAAAGTAAAGAAAAAAATATTTTTTTATTTTTATAAAAAATGCCCCCATATAGAATGGATAGAAAGTCTGCTAGAATAAAAGCAGAGTTGCAAAGATATGGTTGGAGAGTTTCGAAGAATTTTAAATATAGGAAGGGAAGACCCATAAAAGTCTATGACAAATTGTCTGGTCTTCGCTACGAAATGGATTTGGAAACAGCACGTGCCAATTATCCAAAACAGACTAGAGAGGTTAGAAGAAGAACGTCTTATGGACATGCCTTTCGATGTTAGTGAACCTCAAGTTGAAGGACACGACGGCTTTGCCAGATTCTACTGGAAACATGACGAACAATTGCATCCTTTGAGAAGGAAAAAAGGAAAAGGTGAAGACGCACATGCTCCCATGGAAAGAACAAGATATGCATATGAAAAGTATCGTGAAGTTAGAAGTCAAATTACATCTGGTCGAACCTTTACAGTAAACTTTGACGAAGGAAAGAACAAAGAAGGCTTCATGGGTGTACTTGCTGCCATACAAGACGGAAATAAGAAAGGACACAATCTCAGATTGACCATAACAGATTTGGATGGTCACATTTACTATGCACATGGCAATGAACAAACAGCCGCAAAACTTCTTGACGCTTTCAAGACTACAAAGAGAGAACAAATGGTTGACTCCGACTCAGACATTTTGAATACAATTGAAGGAATTGCAAGTGTCAAGTTCGAATGGTACCAACCTAACCCTCAAGCAGTCAGACAACATGCTGGATACTTCCCGTTCATAAATAAGTCTGACATTGACTTGACAAGGTATGGAATTTACAATTCAATTGAAACAATTGTCAATGAACCTTGCATTCTTACATGTCTTAGGAACTCTGGTCTTGTTACAGATGAGAAGATGAAGTATCTTGAGTCATGTGTGAAGACAAGGTACATTCTCAGAGGTCAATTGGCAAAAATTGCACCGTTGGCAAATGTCAATATCCGAGTCAACATACCTACAGCTAAAGGTTCTTCACATGACGACTATGTTGTTGACAAAGACTTACCATGGTTGAAGATTGTAATTGTCCACAACCACTTCATGTTGAACGAAAGTCTTACAAACCCATTCTTTGGTAAAAGTAAGTGCAACATTGTCAGAGCTGTAAACATTCTTTTCGAGAAAGGTTTGTTGGAACCAATTCCAGATGACAAGCTGACAGAAAGTTTTGTACCAAAAGACGAAACAAACTTTCATTGTTAGCAAGACCAAAAGTTGTTCCAGACAAAGTTCTAGTACAAAAGAAGTACACAGTTCCACAAGGGGTTGGTATGTTCGGATACCAACCTGAACCAGAAGAACTTCCAATGAGGTTGCAAGAACTTCAAGATGCTATAAACAAACTTCCATTGAGACATCCAATTGACGTCAAATTGTATTGGAGAGCATCTGAGTTAGGTCAGAAGGTTTTATATGAAACAGGTTGCTTCGACGATGTTTATGAGATAACAGGAGAAGTTTCTCAGAAGATAAGAGACTCACTTGAATTTCCACAAACTGGACCAATTGGTTGCGACAAGTTCGACTCAGATGAAAAGATATACTATGTCGACCTTAACGCTGCATACATGAGGTTTGTCCAATATATTCCGACTGGAATTCCAAACGAAGATGTGAGTTCCCGGAAGGAACTATACAGTTGGAAAAGTCATACAACAACTGTATGATATTAGGAAAGCTTCAAACCCCAAACTTGCAATGACACTCAAATCGCTTATGAATTCGACATGGGGATATTCCATTAAGAAACCTCAAGAGATGAAGAGTAAACATTATGAGAAGGTCGACAACTTTGTTGAAAGGTTTTCTCCTTTTGTTTTGAAGTCTCGTAAACGAAAAAGGGGATTTGACTCCGTCAAATCCCCGCTCGCAAAAAGTGGACTTTACATGTCAAATTTTATATGCATGTAATGTCCACTTTTATGAGTTTTAGGAAGGAATTGGAAGCCATGAGTTACTGACATTTCATCAGTATCTCATAGCCTCCAATTCCTTCTAGAAAGTGTCCAAACTTTGGGTTAATTGCAAACTATTAACCCAAAGTTTGGACACTTTCAAGTGGAGATGGAAGGCTTTGGGGTATATATTAATACAATATACCTCAAAGCCTTCCATCTCCACTACAAATGGGAGAAACTTTGTCCGAATAGTTTAACATTCGGACAAAGTTTCTCCATCTTTCAATGTAATTGCTACCTGTGAGGTACTGACTTGAAGTCAGTGCTTCACAGGTAGCAATATCCAAAAATTTAAAAACATTTTATCAGTTCGTTAAAGAACTAGAGCCTCCTAGGTACTGAACCAGAATCAGTGCCTAGGGGACTCTAGTGATCTATATAAATCTGAGAAACTTTGAGGAAATTGTTCGACATTTCCTCAAAGTTTCTCAGCAATTTAGCGAGGAATGTTCGTTATCGTGTAGATATTTATAATATATACATGATAACAAACATTCCCCGCTAAAAGATGTAAAATCTTATAAGAAATAATTGCAAAAGAATAACAAATTGCAACAAATTTTATATGAAACTGAACCTTATGAGGTAGTGATTCAAGATCACCGCCTCATAAGATTCAGTTTCAATCTCAAGTATCTCAAAAGTAAGGCTCTATTTTTGCCATGTAAAGTGTCACTTTACTGTCAAACCGTTTTTATCGTTTTCGTTTACAACAGAAGTACGAATTCACTCAAGGTCAAAGTGGCTTAGTAACCACATTAAAACCTATTGTCGAACATTGGTCTTACCCTCAGTTCGCAAAGGCAGTCCTTGACAACTACAACAAATTCTTCTCCGAAGTCAAATCCAAAGTGAAGGTTTACTATGAGAACATTGACGCACTCATGACGAACGAAGAAGGATACAACAAACTCATTGAAATGGGAATGGTCGGTGAAAAGATGGGCTGTTTTAAGCTAGATAAGGTATTTTCCGAAGTTCATGTAATATCGAAAAGGAAATATTGGGGCATACTTGAAGACGGCACAGAAATAAAACATTGCATGAAATAAAAAATTTATTTTTAAAAAAGTGACATTTTTTAAATTTTATTTGAAATGTACGCTGAGTTTGTTAGTGAACCTCAAGTTGAAGGAAACTTGTTTGTTAGATGAGAAATATGAAATGGCATACCATTTTAAAACAATATATTTTTACATATATTAAATGCTTCAGGTTGAAAAACAAAGAACAAAAGTAGCAGATACAAAACCGTTAGACTATATCTTTACAAATACTGGTAGGACTATTTCAGATGAAGAAATTTCATCCCGAGCATACAGGTTTGACTATCCAATTCGTTGGCTTCAAAGTCCTTCAGATGCAAAGGCAATAGGATTTAGAAGAGTTTTGTTTTCAAATAGAACTAACGCATTTATGTTCGCAGTATATTTTCATGGGCAGTATGAAGGTCCTGATTGTCTAATAGACAAATTTGACGAAATGAGAATCTTTACAGTTCGTTCAGACGAAAGTCTTGAGAAAACTCTAGATGACTTTCAAACTCAAATGAACAAATATTATTGGGAATTTCAAAAAAAATACGACTCTTTACTAAATGGAACATACTATCTGAAACTAGAATATGACAAGATGAACTCCACCGTTTCATTTCAAAAGATTGAAATTAACCCTCCAAGAGATACAGAGTTTTTATTTTGGGAAGTAGACAAACGTTCTTGGGCACAATTTCTTCGGTTACTAAACCAGAACGAACCATTACCACCAGATGGTCCATTTAAATTTATACTTCCACCAGCAGATTTGATGGTTTATAGAAACGTGTTTGACCCTCAAAATGTTATGTGTCATGCAAGTTTCAGTTCAAGCAACAATAGTTTTCTATGTATTGGTAAGGACCTTTATGACTTTGCTTCTAAATTCTACGAACCACCTAGTAACAGTTTCTCTGACTTTCAAGTTTGGTTCACAACAAATGGTGTACAACATATTATTCCATTGTACTATGACTTTTATCTCGAATTGTCTTTCATATATAACTACGGAAAAGTGCTGAAAAAGTATTGAATGTGAAGATATTAGAAAATAACATTTTTTCTAACATCGTAGAAAACTCATGAAAACAATTTATTTTTGACACTTTCACAAAAAACATAAAAAAGTGAAGTTAAAATGAGATGTTTACTGAACTGGTTGGATGTCGCCTTCACAGGTTATGTAGAATGGTTGACCAGAGAAGTGAAGGAGACCCTTGAGAATTTGGTTCATTCTTGGGAAAGGGTTCTCTCTGTTTGGAAGTAGTATCCAAGGACGCTTGGCAAAGAACTTTATAATGGCTTCCTTCTTTGCTTGCTTTATGTCGTCGTAGGCTGTCCCGTCTGGTATTTGAATTGGAATTCCAGTCGAAGTCTCGAGATTCAAGGCAGCCCTTCCCGTTATCCAACCGTTAACAAGCTTGCCTTTTACATTCTGCCTGAGGAAGTCTTTAACAAGCTCGTTAATTTCAATTAGGTAAATTGCCTCGTCGGTAGGTTCGACTTCGACCATTGCTACTGTCAGTAAAAGTACTGCTACTGTCAGAAAAAGCACTGCTACTGTCAGAAAAAGTACTGCTACTGTCAGTAAAAGTACTGCTACTGTCAGTAAAAGTACTGCTAGGAGCAGAAAAAAGGAAAATTTGAGAGGGTTTTCGACGATAAAGTACTGCTACTGTCAGAAAAAGTACTGCTACTGTCAGTAAAAGTACTGCTACTGTCAGAAAAAGTACTGCTACTGTCAGTAAAAGTACTGCTACTGTCAGTAAAAGTACTGCTAGTAGCAGAGATTTTTATCGTTGTGGTCCGACGGTTAAGCCACAAACGAATGTCCGACGTCCCACCAACCGAGTCCATTCCCAAACCAGAGGAACCTAAAGAACCACAACAGTCTCCTCAGCAACCTCAGTTCCAGCAAGTACCTCCGAATTACTACCAATTTCCACCTCAAGGTTACTACCCACCACAAGGCTTCCCGAACTACCCTCCTCAGCCTATGCCTTACTTCCCCAACCCTTGGTTGTTTATGCAAAACCCTGCCCCAGCAATTCCAATTCCAATTCCAATCTCAGTCCAAGAGAGACCAAGAGTTCGAAGAAGGTCTGAACCGCTTACGCAAAGAGTATGCTACAGCTCCAATTGAGAGAAAGTTGTTCCCGGACCAAAAAATATAATTTAGGGTAGATGGTTAGATCTAACCCGATTTCTACCCTCATGAATTTTCATGAATTTTATATATTAATGTTTTCGTTAAGCCACTTTGTGCCGTCAGTCAGTCAGTCAGTTTAGGAAAGACTTTAGAAAGTTGTTGGAAAATAAGTCCTGGGAAGAGTATTATAAGGCATTTTGTGAAGAATATAGCAACCGCCGGAATTCAGACGGTTGCTTTTTATACAAAATTCATGCAGGAAATTCTTGAGTTTTGGTTGAAAGAATACGGTGGAGCCAAAAGTGGCTCGACCTCAAAACAAGCATTTTATGAGCTTACTAAGGGCGTTATGAATGAATTCAAAGGTATTTACATACATCCTGACCTCGTTCATTTTGTTGCTGAATTCAGCAAAAATATAATTTAGGTGAAGAGGTGAGATTTCACCTGTTTTTTCACCCTCTTGAATTTTCATGAATTTCCTTAAGATAGAAAAAATAAAGTTAGTTTTATTTTTATTTATTTTTTTATTTTGTATGTAAGATATGATTTCAACAATCGGCACAACAACAATTCAAACAACAGCACCAAACTCGTTAGTCATGAATCCAACATCTATGTTAGTAGAAATGAAAAGCTTCATTCCTTCTTCATATACTTTTGAAACAGAAATCCAGAAGATAAAGCAAGAACTTTTAACAAGTAATTTAGACTGTAGTGCGAAAGATGAAACAAATGAACAGTATCTTTATGAAATGGAGGACCTCATCGACCATTTGCCTAAACTACCTGAAATTCAGCAGCAAAAACTAACTATTCCTGAATTCGACGAAATTGAAGTCAAAGCAACTGACTCAGTAGAAATAAAGAAGTTCATACGAAAGGTAAATTATGAATTCCTTGGTTTTCATTGAAACCATAAAGTTATGGACAAAGATTGCGACATGTTATATAAGAACATCTCTGACATATATTAATCTGGGGAGTTTAAGACATACGACAACTTTGTTTCATTAGCTGCAAAATGTGTATGGCAGATAAGAGATAAAGATAGAAGAGGTAAGGTATGGAATGAACAGATAAAACCAACTGCTTCAGATTTAAAGAAAACCATTGACGCCTTAGTTGTTTTAGCAGGTAAGGTTTCAGAATATAACGCAAAAATGAACCCGCAATGTTCTAAATGTAAAGCAGCAATTAGGAAATATAACTATTCAGTAAAAGAGATAGAAAGAATGCGAAACGACTATGCAGATTTAAAGAAAGAAGCAGAGAAGCCGGTAGAAGATAAAATGAACATGTTAGAATTTCTGAACAAAAACTATCCAACTGCTGACGATTTCCTTCTATCTGATGTCAAGAAGAAGTATAAAGAAACTTTCGGCATTGTTAAAACATTCGATGTACTAAAAGAAGAAATAGAAGCTACAAAACTGTTTAGAGTCTCACGAATTCATAACGTTTACCATGTGAAACGTTTATAAAATAACTGGGGTAGAAATGAGGGTAGATATCGGGTTAGATCTAACCATCTACCCTAAAATATATTTTTATTGAATTCAGCAACAAAATTCTGAGTAAAATAATTTTTAGGGCATGTGTCAAACCGTTGAGTTTTCACAAAATTTAAAAAATAACATTTACCATGTGAAACGTTTATAAAATAACTGGGGTAGAAATGAGGGTAGATATCGGGTTAGATCTAACCATCTACCCTAAAATATATTTTTATTGAATTCAGCACAAAAATCATGAATTTCCTTAAGATAGAAAAAATAAAGTTAGCTTTATTTTTATTTATTTTTTTATTTTGTATGTAAAGACAGTAATGTCAACAACAGAGAACACAACAACAGTTATAGTCCATGAAGCTATAAATGAAGAATATGAGTGGGTTCAGTTTAACAAACAACTCCGTCTCATTCGTTCGGTCAAAGACAATATGTACCAAATGCAAAGTATTTTGACAGCATGTTTTGCACCCGACAATAAGAAACCACAAGACTGGTTTAGGAACCAAAGCACTATTGAACTATTAAATGAAGCTGAAAATTCGACTACGAGAGGAAAAGAACTATAAGTATATGATTTATACTGAAGAGATGGAAAATGAAGAAGATAAAGATATGGTTATGTTGCATTTAGTCAGAAGAAACAACAAAAGCTTTTACGACCTTGCTAAGATTTACAAATCTGACAGAAATTGGTTCTATCGCGAAAACTTACCGATTTCAATGACACCAAATGAAGATGTGAAACAAATAGTTCAAGATACGTTACCTCAAACACACTATGATATGAAAGGTTGTACAATTTTTACCTTCAAAGAAGACTTACCGCTACTGAAAGAAAAAATAACAGAGTATTTTGACAACTTCAAACAAGTAGGGTAGATGCACTCTTTATTTTTATTGACTTTTTACAATTTGAACTTTGTTTGCGTAGATATGAATTCTGAAAGAAGTATGAGGGTCTTGTATGACTTTGTACTTCTCCCATAGTTCATGTCTGTCAAACTTACCTGCCATGGACTCTTTCATAAGTTCCATGAAATCGTCTTCGGACAATCCGGGGAAAAGTACAATGTCAGTAAGTATTCTCTTTACATCCTTACTTAAACTCTTTGCTGTCTGTACACAAATGACAACTGAGATGTTAAAGTGTCTGAGCTTCTTAAGAATTCGACACATATCTTGTTCTCTGTTCTTTAACAAAGGATGAGAGGCGAAATCATCTAAAATAAGAAGACACCTATGAGGGTATGTCTTCCAATCGTAAGATTGCAATTTCTTCGAAATGTATTCTATCTCTTTCTGTTTGTTTCTGAAGTGTTTCTTCTCTAATATTCTCTGCATTACCTCATTAGGGTCTTTGAACTTAGAATTTATATACTCATTTATAGCATTATACTTCAAAACTCTTCTTTGGTACTTCTTTATCCAATCTAACAACTCAGTATCCTTTATACATACTAACTTAGACTTCTTTATAATATCTTTGAACGAATTGACGGTTTGGTCAAATTGACCAGAAGTACTACAAATGACTACTAACTCATAGAATGGGTTCTTCTCATCTAGTTCTTGTTGTTGTGCAGCCATTTTAAGATAAGTGAAAGTCTTACCCGACCCAGGTGGTGCAATTAGACCTGTTATACCATTCTGAGCAAATAAGAATTTGTCATGTATAGGCTTTATCTGAGCATTTTCTAACTTCCTCTTGTTCTTGTTTAAAACATTCTCAAATTTCTTGTCAATGTCAGCAAACTTTTTTTCTAACATATTTTTAGAAAAATTAAAATTTTTATCTTTTAGAAAATGTCTAGCGATTTCGCTATCTATATTCGAGACAAACTTTTTGACAGCAAAACATCTGTCGACCATAAAATCTTACATAATGTAAACAAGAAAGGTGAATTTGTTCTAAAGTTCTGTTTCTGGGAATATGACAAGAACCATAAAACATTACAAAGAGCAGTCTTAAAATTTGTCAATGACAGACTTGTTGACAGAGATGACGCCGATTGGAAAGATGAAGTCCAACAAAAGTTCTTAGAATGCAAAGAAGACACATGCGCTGTTCTTGAAGATGAAATAGAAAACAGAATAGATGAGCTATTAAAGGACAAAGAACTTTTACAGAAATATAGTTGCGCCAAATTTGACATAACTCCACCAGAAAAGAAGAAGAGAGAAAAGAAAGAAAAGAAAGTAGAAGAAGAGAAGAAAGAACCTGAACCAGTTCCAGAGAAAAAGAAATTTGACATGTAAAAATAAAATTTTATTTTTAGAACATTTCTGGGTCAATGTCAATGTTCTCTTCCTCTTTAGGAGTAAACACTGGCTTAGACTCTAAAATCTTTTTACCCAATTTACCTTGAACTTCTACAACTTTAGACTCATAATATTCATAGTCGTCTGTCTTCTTTGGTTCATAAGGTATAACAAGTTTGTATGCTTTGCCTTCTTTAAGGTTTGAGAACTTTCTGTCAAAACTTTCTTTGACTGTTAACAAACCTTCTATGTCTAAGTCTTCAAATTTCGCACCATTTTTAGTCACAATAGCAAACTTAACTGGTTCGATGTTCCAAACTTTGCTGAATGAAGACTTTTCAAAATGGTAGAAGTAAACATTCAAATATGTGAATGGGTCTAGTTCTTCTTTAAGTCCTGACATGTACTTGTTTACTGAGATGAATTTTGCCATCTTTTCTATCGGATAAAAAAATATTTTTTTTAAATTTACTCAGAAAAAATTTTCTTTGTATATACACCATTCTGAACATCTAAAAGACTTTTGACATTTGCCAAGAATGTACGTTTAGAAGCTGCCATATAACCATATTCTTGACAATATTGTTTATACGAATCGTACAATGACCTTTCATCTAAACACTCAAAGTCGCTTTCTTCTATGAACAGTTCATATACACTCTTGTTTGCTTCTAACAATGTTTGTCTCTCTTCGGTATGTGGAATTTGTCTTGGATTGAACTTAGAAATATCTAATGTCATGAAATATGAGAACAAGTGGTTGTAAAAGTCAGATGTCAAAGTTTCTGCTAAGTCGTCAAAATATTCTGTATCTTGCATATGAGAATCTGACGTTCTGACAACTACATATCTTCTGTCAGAACTTTCTAACTTCATCGGAACAGCATTGTTTGAAACCATAATGAAGTTTGCAACATTTTCACAAACTCTTTGGTCTTTATACTTTCTTTCAACAACTCCAACTTTGTCTGTTATAAGACTCTTCAAAGCATCTGAGTTCAAAACTTTTGTTGTATCTATACTTTGAAGTTCATTGCAAACTATAAGTTTCATATTCTCTATTGAGGAGTTAAACTTGCCACAGATGTTTTCTAAGTTTGTCATATTCGGATTCGAATAACCTTCTAACAGTTTGCATAAGATATCTGTAAAGAATGTGTTCTTACCTGTTCCTTGTTTTCCAATTATAATGAGAGCAGTTTCATTTTTAGCACTTGGATGTTGTAAGATATTTGCAAACCAACATAAGATATACTCATAGACTCTTTCGTTTCCATTGCATATAATTTCTTTGACATGGTCTAACCAAGCTTCTATAATACTGTGTTTCCATTCTACTTGTTCATATTTATATCCAGTGAAGATAGAATAGAAGTTTGGAGAAGGTGTATAGAACTTTATACCTCGAACTGAAAAATCTTCTAACTTTGACAATAAGATATCCCAAGCATCTAACATCTTCATTCCAACTTGTACAACTTTTATTTTCTTAAGTTTCTGTCTACATTCTTGTTCAGACACTATTGTTGCTCTTGGTTTGTTAAAGACAACATCCCATTCTTTCATGACATAACATTCTGGGGCAGAGTCAACATAAATGACTAAACGTTTCAAATTCTCGACTGCTTTGTTATAGTCTCTAAATGGACACATATTTCTGAATGCTTGGAAGTCATAAAAATCTGAAACATCTATTCTGTACATTTTTATAAAAATAAAAAAATATTATTTTTTTATTCTTGACTTTGTTGTTCCATTTGTTGCATTTGTTGTTCTTGAGCTATTTGTTGTTGAAGTTGTTCTTGTAATACAATACTTTCACCAGTTGCATCTTCCAATTCGAAACTTTCTGCCGTCATTGACAAATACATAGGACATAAAAGTTTTACAGGAACAAAGTTTGCGTCAACTAATGTCAACGTTATACTTGCCAAAGTGTTTGAGTTCACTAAGGTTGAAAATTCTGCATTCGAATGAACAATAGGCAAACCAGCAGAGAAAGTATTGTTTATACGCATAAGTATCTTTTGGTCATAATAGTTTCTGTCGACATTCGAATAACACTTTGAACCTAAGTTTGAAACAATATATAAGATTGGTGTGCTTAATGTCAATGGAATAGACATTCCTTGTATGACACCTTTTCCTGTTATAGGAAACTGTTGGTAGTAAAAACCAGAAATAAGTTTTGTATTATAGCTCATATCGTTTATAGTAAACTCAGTCGGACATCCAAACATAATGAAACCTGCTCTAGTTGCAGCACATGTTACACCCGTACTTAAAGTATTAAATAAGTCAACAAAACCTGTTGGTGGTATATCTGAGTAAGTATCTTCAAAGGAGTATTTTTTACCATTCACAACAATAAAGTCTTCTGGTGTCAAAAGAGCAAAACAGGCTTTAGTCGTCATTGTGTTTAAGGTTAGTTTACAATATCGTCCTTGAGGACTTTGTAAGTTTGTTGTTATAGAATTATATGACTCAGGGTTTTTAGTCGTAATAGTATAAACCATTATGTCTTCTGCATTTACTTAGCAAATAAACTTTAATGAAATGTTGTGGTCGTCAAATATTTTTATAACGTCTGGGAAACTATATTTTAAGTTCAACGTTTCACCTCCTTTCATAACGTATATCTTGTCAATGACATTATATGAAACACCACAGCAACCAATGTCGGGTTCTATTTCTTTGATGTTTATATCGTC